AGATGATACTCATACTGCTCATGGAGATGATCATACTGCTCATGTAGAGGATAGTGTATCTGATGTAAGTGAAGAAGAGGAACCTGTTGTTAATGGTTCTCATGAAACTGATGGCTCTAGTACTCATGGTAATAATGCTCTCCCTCGCTATCCTACTCGTCATCGAACGGCTCCTAATAGGGGTCCATTCATTTATTACTGAAGGCGGGACGCCTTTCTTTTGGAGGGGAGTTGATGTAATAACTATTATTGAACTTAGTAATTATTATGTATTATGTTTTGGGGGTGTGACAGGGTGTGGTTGACTAGAGTATGGTTCTAACTATTGTGACTTGTGGTGTGTGTGTTCCATAATCTTTATCATTATCAATCGGATTACAAACGGTCCTTTTAATATTATTATTGGTACAGAGAACCAGTATTACACAATTATTTCATATTACATTAATATTAATGATTATTTTATTAAATTGATTTTATTATTTTTTCAGGATATATTAGAAGTACCCAATCATGGAGGATCAGTACAATGGCCTGAGGGAAGATGGGGTCATTCCAGTGTACTGATTACCACTAGTTCAGGACCACACTTACTAGTGGTGGGTGGATATCCTGCCTATGATGTATGGTTACTGGACATTAACAAAATAAAATGGAAAGAACTGGTAAGTATTATATTATGATGCTTGATAATGAAACATAAAGTGATTAACTAAATTTGTAACTCATGAGGTTTGTAATGTACATGTACATATTATGATACTCAGTGAAAACTACTGATGAATAATGCTGGTATTCAGTATGTATGTGTGTGTGTCTGTTTTTAGTGTAAATGTGTGTGTTTGTGTCTTTTTGTGTTTTGTGTTTGTTTCTTCACCAAAATATGTGGGAATATACATGTGTCTGTGTGTGTGTAAAGATGGATTCACAATTGATAGAGTGTCAATGCTGGAATTACAATAAATTGTATTTTATGTACATTGTGTACATTGTGTATGTACATACATGTATTTGTGTGTATGTGTGCATATGTTTTCCCTTGTAAAAAATCCCAGCAAGATCTTATAAGGTTTTTCATGATTTCACATGATTGTACAAAAAAATGTAAGATAGCAGAGCCGTAGGAAGGAATTTGGAACTGGTGGGGCTGAAGAAAATAGAGTGGTGATAATTAAATGGTGCGCGAAGCACACCACGATTTTGAGGGTAGTTAATTATATTCATGAGAGGTGTAGCTTAATGGCGCGCATGGCATACTGCAAATAAACGACTTGGAAACTATGGATTTAGGTTGATAGGATGACCAGAGCCACCACTCACCATATTAACACTTTTTGTTGATAAACAAGGTGGCCACGTGGATACATTAAATCAATCATATCAATGAATATAAATTTAATCAAAATAATTATTAAAATGAATAATATTAAAAATTTATGGAACTAAAAACTGGTAAGGCTTGAACCTAACCAGCCCACCCGTCTCCTACGGCCCTGGATAGTAATGTTGTAAAATCTTAACACAGAAATTTTTACAAATTCTTATTTAAGATTTCATAAAATTTGAACCATTTTGTCAGATCTTGTGACATCTGTTGTAACTATAATTCTTGTAAGAATTTAAAAGATCTTATGAATAAAGGAATATGTCAGAAAATGTAAGATCATGCCTCACTTAAATCTTGCATTATCACACCTTGTAAGAACTAAGATGATCTTGTTAAATTAAAATCTATAATAAGATCTTACAAAATCTATTAAGTTTATGATCTTGAAGAATCATCTATGATCACACGACACATAAGATCTCTCATTGAGTCATAAAAGATCTTGAAAGATCTTACAAATTACATGACGTCACAGGAAGTGATAGACAACCCACAATAGCCTTTACGATAATGGCAGTATATAAGGAAAGTAAAGTTTCAACCTAATTAAATCAAAAAAGTTAATTAAGTTTGCATTAACCTTCACATCATTAAATAATTTCATTCATGCAATGTAAGATCTTGCTCAAATCTTACTGTTATGTCCATTTTTCATAAGCTGAAATTTCATGTAAGAACTCAGCTAATTTTTTTAAATCTTGACAAAGCAGGATCCCATGATATCTTTCATGTTCTTTGTTTCAAAATCAGGTAAGATCTTGCTGTGATCTTCTATGAATTTGGTAAGATTTTGAGAAAGATCCTATCAGATCTTGCTTACATTTTGATAGCAAGATTTAACACTATCTTACATGATCCTTGTTTCAAAATCAGGTAAAATCTTATAAAATATTAGCAAGAATCTTGTGAAGAATTTTAAAGAAACTTAACAAGATCTTGCTGGGATTTTTCACAAAAGTTAATATGTGTATGTGTGTACTAACACGTACATCATGTGTACATGTAACATGTATATGTGTGTGTATGTGTGTGAGCAATTATGTATGCTTTACATGTACCTTTATATGTCTATGCATGTATAGATGTACATGTATGTGTGTTAGTGTGTCATTAGTATGTGTATGTGTATGTGTGTACATGCAGACACTTAGTAAGTTCTTAATTGAGGACTCACATGATATAATAAGACACTAGCTCAGTTGTGTATACTTGTCTATTAATATATTGTGTATTATTAATTTTATTATGTCATCTTTGTGTTACATAAAACACACTGTGCAGACTATAAAACTGTGAGTTAGTTATTGTGTTTATTAACCAGATATCAAGTCAATTAATATGTCATACACAAATTAATTATCATTTTAATTTTATAGATTAATCTACCAGACAATTTCACTAGGAGATACTATCATTCTTTCTCAGTGTGGAGTGTGACCCCAACTACTAACTGGATAATTGAGTTTGGAGGAGGTACATCATACACTGATACAGCAGTTATTGAACTCAGTAAGTACATGTAGACAGTAGTAGATACAATCTGTATTGAATATGTAATGATAATTAGTAATGATAATATTAAGTAATTCTTATGATGAATATTTAATGAGAGCATTTGACATATACCTATGATACTAATTATTACCAATTCATTCCTGCTATGTACAATAGTGAAATATAATGACTGCAGATACAGAAACACTGATATTAATAGGAGCTAGAGTGAATGAAATATTATTATCAGTGTATTTATATACAATAATATGTTCAAGTGGTTAACTGTTTAAACTGACAGAGGTCACACATACAATGATTAAACATAATTCCATCAATAATAAGGTTACCATAGTAACTAAGTGTAATTAATTTGTGTATTTCTTATTCTCCACTATTATGTTACTGTATAGGATATACTAGTGATAATGATTGGTCTACTAGTGTAATACCACTGGACCAGTATCAAGATCAACTAAGAAGGATAATGAGTGATTGGAAGAGTTTTGAAAAGCAGATTCAAATATTTCAAGATCACCTGCAATTACAAAATAAGAAGGAATTTATTTATCAGGAACAGCTTCAAAGGGAAATAAAAGAGAAGGAGCAGATACAGCAAGATCGAGAGAAAGAGCAGCAACAGCTTCTTCAAGAAAAGGCAACACTTAGTCAGCAACTTGATGATGCTACCGCTCTCCTTGAGCAAGCAGAAAAGGATAAATCAACTCTTGAATTAGGTACTATTGTGTTGTACTGTTGTTTATGTGTACATTGTTTACATTGTAATACTAGTGGATTAGAGAATGTCGAGTATGGAAATAGTATCCTGTACTCAATATAGGTCAAATTGTCCATGCACTAGAAATAATGAGATTGATGTAGAGTGAGCTCTGCTTACCATATATGGTATCATTAGCAATAATCATAGTACATGTATTTATGGGCTACTGTACATGCAGTGCAAATTTGTTCATTTAAGCAACATATATCATTTTATTTTCTATCTTTTAATTTTTATTGATATTGAAAGATTTTGACAAGCTTAAAGCTAAAGTTGCTGATAATGAGGAGAAGAAACAGATTATTACTGGTTAGTGTATCATCAGTACATAATATTAGATGAGAGAATATTCTATTAATGCAGAAGATTATGAGAAACTTAAAGTCAAAGTTGCCAAATTATTGGAAGAGGAGGAACAATACTTCAAGGAAAAACAGATCATTATTGGTTTGTTAACTATACACCCAGCATGTATTAGATGAGAGAATATGTTTATTGTGTAGACAACAATCAAAATCTCATTTCTGAGAAAGACAAAGTTATAGCCAAACTGATATTGAATGAGAAACAGATCATTACTGGTTAGTGTATCATCATCAATCAATAATAATTATTATTAATATTCTATTAATTTATAGACCTTAAAGAAAAGGAGTTGTACATAGCCAAACTAGTGAAGGAAAGACAAGAGAGGGTCCTCAAGCAACCTATCAAAGAGACTAGTTCCATTGGACTACAATTTAATTACCTGATCTCTTCAATGGGTAAGAGTTTTATTGT